TCCAGTGATCACCATCATGAGCATCGATCTACGCAACTGGGATACGATGACATACGACAAACTTGGGATGCTGAAGGTCATTTCTAACTCGGATCTACACGGGTCGCTAACATCTGATGTCATCAGAGATTTTCAGCATTGTGTTGTCTTTCACCCCGAATAGAATCTAATTTATGACCGATGCATAAAAATTATGAATTCCCGTCACGTTTCCCGGGTTCGATTCCCCACATGGGTACAATGTGTGAAGCCCACTTCTAGGTGTCCCCCGCCGTCATATTGCTGGAATATTGCTAAAAGCTGCGTAAAACTAAACTCACTCACTCCCTTAACAAACATGGTCGTGACTCGGGCACTCGGCAGTAGCCTACATACACTTACCCCACAGACATATCTTCCCCACGAACAATACACCCTTTATCAGATTGTATCACCCGCAGGTCACGCAATATGCACAACCTGGGAAGTATGTTGTTGCTTGAGGCTGCACACAGCGGGAAATCGGGCAATCACCTGATATACCAGACATTCCCATACTAACACTGATACCACAGCAATACCTAACTGCACGCACTTTGTGTTTTAAGTCAGGAACATTAAACATAATGAAGGAAGAGTTGATATTAGCGTTATTATAAACATCCTACATTTGCTAATGTCCATCAACAGTAGCATATCCTATTTTTGTGTCAAGGCTGTTGTGTCGGTATGGTATATATGTATATGCATGAGTGATTGATTGCCGAACACCTTGTGAGAATACGCCTCTCCACATGCTGCAGGCTGAATTTCTCCTTGCTGAAAAACACCACCAGCTGTGTTTACAAGATGGTTCTGAACGGTTATAGGACAAAATATAAATAAATTCAATATTACTCAAAAGGCTCGTTTGTGTACACATGAAAATATATACTGAGGGAAACAAATAAGGGAACACCACTTCATGGCAGTGTTCCTTTATTTATTCTCAGATTTCCTCCCACAGCACGATTCGAAGCTGGTGATGAAAACTGGAAAATATTAAAGGAACACTTGAATTTTCCTGTGTTCCTCTATTTGTTTTTCTCGGTATATTTCGGTCAGTACCTATGAGCTATGCATGTGCTGTATTGGGCCATGCATGTGCTATATTGGGTCATGCATGTGTTATATTGAGCTAAGCATGTGCTATATTGAGTAGTCTTCAATAAGCCACGGAGACGGGAGCTATGGGTAGAGGGAGGGAAGACATGTTTACATAGTTTTATCTCGCATGTTGTATCAGATGTGTGACCGTTTAAACTCTCTCACTCTCCCACGTGCTCTGATCTGACCAACATAAGGTGAGGGTTTCTAAATTCAGAAAGCAGCTTATGCTGTAACAACAATAATAACTGCTTCAGAAATACGGATACGCTTTGAGAAAACAATTAATGGAGTATCAACTTCATATCATGACGAAGGTACGTGTACCCGTGAGGATCCGGGTTAGAATCGGCCTTAGGCAATCCGTGCCTGTTGTAGATCGATGCTCATCGGGGGCATATTTGGTCCACCAACCTGTTTGCTGTGGGTTGCGCCCCTGTGTCGGTGGAGGACGGGAGTCTGGTGGTTGAGGGCACTGGTTCCAGGTACAGCGTTCCTTTGCCCAACACACCACTTCGGCCCTTACTTCACCTAGACGGGTGGTAGAACTGGCCCGGTTCTATCAATCGGCTGGTCATGCCAAGCCCTGTGTATGTATATTTTGATACACACGTTTTAGACACTTTGGAAAATGTTTTCTGAAATGACTTGGCTTATATGTTTATGTTTTTGAATTTGAAAATATTTCACTTTTGTAATTTGCCTAGAGTACTATACCCAGAAGGCGGTGGCTCATGGGCCAATCTGGTGGAATTATTAATCTTTCAATTTTTCTGCTGGAGTATATCATCCGAGTATCCTTGGTGTTTCAAATAACCGTCTATTTTCACTGCAGAAGCAAACGCCATATTAACAGCTCTTAAATATATCAATAAACACCGTAAATATAAACAATACATAATCTTTTCCGATTCTCTTTCGTGTCTTCAGGCTATGAAACATCTTTACTGTAAACATCCACTTTTACTCCAAATTATTGAATTATATAATGAGTTTGCTACTGGCCAATGCGACATCGTCTTTTGTTGGTTACCCAGCCATGTTGGCATTTCTGGGAATACAATGGCTGATCTTGCTGCCAAGGCAGCACTCAATAAATCTGTGACACCACTATTTATCCCATACTCTGGTTACAAAGCTAGCATTAGAACCTACATCCGTGATCTAATGCAGAAGAAGTGGGACACCAGGTATGTATCAATAAATTACATGAAATAAAAGGTATGTAATCCAGACGTGTGACACACATCCTAGACACTTGCGTCACGCTTCAGTGTCCGAGACATGTCAGCCAGTCATAGCTTTGAGCAGGTATCCTTCTAACATCAAACTTGCGTGCACACCTGAAATATACGAGGCTGGGTATTAACGGCACATTCAGTGTGTGGTGTCGCAGGCCTGAGAGGCAGCAATAGGTGCAGCAACAGAGAGGATACAGGGTAGAAGGTTAGTTCAGTGGACGTTACTTGACAAAGGTGTAAAGTGAGGTGTTACGGGATTCACCGTCGACTAGAAGGTTAGTTCAGTGGACGTTACTTGACAAAGGTGTAAAGTGAGGTGTTACGGGATTCACCGTCGACTAGAAGGTTAGTTCAGTGGACGTTACTTGACAAAGGTGTAAAGTGAGGTGTTACGGGATTCACCGTCGACTAGAAGGTTAGTTCAGTGGACGTTACTTGACAAAGGTGTAAAGTGAGGTGTTACGGGATTCACCGTCGACTAGAAGGTTAGTTCAGTGGACGTTACTTGACAAAGGTGTAAAGTGAGGTGTTACGGGATTCACCGTCGAGTTCAGTGACGTTACTTGACAAAGGTGTAAAGTGAGGTGCTACATGCATCTATGTCATTATCACAGCAATGATCTTAATGCGGGAAAACCCTCGAGTATTTCGGATCACATGACGTTCTACGATTTTAACGGAACAGATGTCATATTACGAATGGACAATCGTTTGTTGCATATACTAACGTGAAATGGTGTTAAGCGTATTGCACGTAAATAAAAGCCTGTGTGTGCGTTCGTGCGTGCGTGCGCGAATGTGCTCGTATTTGTTCGGACCAGTGGCGGTGTTTGCTGCCAGCCCACTGAAATACCATGCCGCAGATTAACATGGATCCCCAGCATACCGACTCGGAGCCAACAAGCCCTTTATGTCCCTATAATGCCATGCCGCAGATTAACATGGATCCCCAGCATACCGACTCGGAGCCAACAAGCCCTTTGTGTCCCTATAATGCCATGCACCAGACAGAGTAGCCTTCCTTCAGTGTCGCATAGGAGGAGGTTTTAACAAACACGTACTTTTTAATGCAAAATGCGTGAATGTAGGGGAATAAGGAAGCGAAGGACATGATCGCTCCTTTTGCGACACCAGGTGTCAATTCCGATGCAAGTAATGCAGTTATATTATCTTAACTGCTATTTTACGACCAAGGGAATCTGTTTCTTTGGAAAACCAAGCTTTTACTGTCTAGCATTGGCGTTATATATCTCCATGCGATTGGTTTTTACTATGCAGCGCATTCTAGTCAAATGACGCTGCACTCAACATCACACGTTAACGCTTCATCCGTGCTCTGCAATTAAACAGGTTACTCAAAAACGCTTTTGAGCCCTTGAAAGTTGTTAACTTGCAAGACAGAATCTAGTTTTAGTAGCAGATAATTGCTAGTCTGGAAGTGTACTCTCCCAAAACAGAAACGCATTGGCGTGTTTTCACGAACTTAATGTACTATTTTTAAATTATGGTAATACATGTAACTATGGATCAGTTAGAGGATAAAGGATCCAATGTCTGTGAACGTGTATAGCTGATACAAGTTTGATAAAGGATCCAGTGTCTGTGAACGTGTATAACTGATACAAGTTTGATAAAGGATCCAATGTCTGTGAACGTGTATAGCTGATACAAGTTTGATAAGTGTCCGTTCCCTATTGGGCGATGTGCCCATGACCATGACCCCCAAACTGCCCTGCACCGTCTCGGCATGGACCATGTGGATTCCTTGCCCATTCCTCTTGCAATGCCTGAGATAGTTGATCTAATGTCTGGGGTGCCGGTTGACGTACTCGTCGGCCGAGGTCATGCCACAAATGCTCGATGGGATTGAGGTTGCGCGATTTGAAAGGCCATGGAAGCACTGTAATGTTCTCATTCTGAAAATACTGAATCCTGGCATATGCCATATTATCTTGCTGGAACCACTCCCCCTGGCGGTCAGTGATCGGAACCATGTGAATCTCTATACCGAAAAGCAGCAAAATTGCCCTGAAGGCGCACACAGACAGGTTTTCTGGGCAAAACGTTCATGTCGACGGTGATAGACACGTACTCTGCTGGCAGGGCGCTGAAGCAGAAAGCGTCATTCGTCACTGAATCATACACGTCGCCAGAATTGTAGACTCGAATACGTAACGTTATTGCACCACTGGACCCGTCGACGTTGATGTAGTCGTCACAGCACAGGGCCCAAATAGAATCTTCTGACAAGAAGTCCAGCTTGTCGTAAACGGTTAGAAAATGGTTAGCTCCTCAAACCAGCCACTGGACTTGCAATTATAACAAAAAAACCCACTAATTTTGAAAAAATATTTCAAATTTCATTTATCAATATCATCTATGCGTTTCTTTTTTTGAGAGTATATTTTACTCGATTGTTTATGAACATAGTACACAGTCATTTCGTTTCTGCCGTCAATAGCTCTGAAACAGTCAATGCGGTGTAACATGATTAGTGACAGTTACATGAGATATATCTACCAAATAGGTGGAATATAACTTTAATTCAGTCACTGTTCATTCCCGGACTGAGCTTCAGAGCTACCTGCAATCGATCAATATCAGATATATCAATACGTTTTTCTTATGTTACAGACAATGTTAAAAAATAAGGAATCGTCCGGATTTGTTGATGACTGGCAGTCAGGGAAGACTGTCACTGAGTGTAATCTGCGCATGCTCGACACAGAGGACTTCAGTGACGTCACCTTCCGGGTGGGTTCAGAGCAGCAGGCGGTCCAAGCTCACCGCTATGTTCTCGTCAGTCGTAGCTGTGTTTTCCATGCCATGTTCTGTGGTAAGCTGGCCGAAAAAGAGGAGGTGTCCATTCCTGACATAGAGCCGAACATATTTAAAGAGTTCTTAAGGTAAACCTTATCTTGTTACCTGTGGTGATAAAGTTAGTGAATACATTGTACCTTTAATTATCATATCATGGCAACCTGGGAAGCCTGAAGTGATGCAGGTAGTTGACCTTTCTCAACACTTGTGAAACCTGCGACAAAACTCCCACAATGAGGGCAGATCTAAGATTCGAAACTTATCATAAATCTTTGGTTCCATTGGGTGAGAGGCCGGTCACATCTGACGTTCATGACTGTATTAGCGACACATTTTGACGTTTCACTGGGTGAGAGGCCGGTCACATGCCACACATCTGACGTTCATAACTGCATTAGCGACACATTTTGACGCTCCACTGGGTGAGAGGCCAGTCACATGTCACACATCTGACGTTCATAAATGTATTAGCGACACATTTTGACGTTCACACGTTATTCACGAGACTGAATTCTTGACATTACGTAAGCGCAGAGGGACTACTTCCACCTTTCTGGGGAAATTCCGGGGAATTCCTAAACATAGTTTAGCGTTGTTTCCTTAAGACTTTAATCTTGAACTTAACGTTTTAGCGTTAATTGAGATAAGTTCAACTGACGAATAAAATAGCATGGTGACGTATATTTTGCAATAGTATCGATGGGAAAAAATTCTGAACCACCCATTTTCCTAAAGTAAATATATGGCGTGTCGCCCACTGTGTAGTCCATGCCGGGGTCAGTGAAGCGCCAGCGCAGCATACACAAGGAACCAGGCTACCTTTGGCAGAGTGATACTTCGGCCAGGATAACCTCATTGCGGAAGTTTCAATAGTGACGTTTACAGTTTGATTAAAACAACCTAGGTCATGAAAAGGGTATGTATTATACATAGAACGCCATATCAGTGCATTTGGACCTTATGTATTGAGTTCGAAGATGTCATGGTAGAAGATTAACGAGTTCGAAGACCATGACATTTTCATGTTGAAAACACATAAGAGGCAAATGCTCAGGTATGATGTTCTTTATAGGTACGTCTGTCCGGGGGTCAGAGTTTTATAAATCATTATCGCAAGTTTCGACGTTCATACAGTTTGGCCCTCATTCTATAAAAGTCCATACTCTAGTGATGTCACACAAAGTGAAGACCAATTCTTAAATATTGCCTCGTGCCCCATCAGATCCTAAAAGGATAACCAGTCTCAAAGACTTGAATAGGTTAACCAATGTCATGTATGGGTTTATGATGGCCAGAGATTGATAAGATTAAGTATATATTTTATCATTTACTAAGCAGTTCTATGTTGTAATGATCTATATTTCAACTATTCTACATGTAGGTTTGTATACACAGACAAGGCAGATGTCAGCGCCGGAACAGTCACGGGATTGATGTACACCTCCAGGAAATATTCTGTGGACGCATTATTCTATGAGTGTGTTATGTTCCTGGAGACATGTCTGTCAGAGAGCAATGTCTGTCAGATCCTTGAAGACTGCCATCGTTACGGGGAGCTTGACCTGGAACAGAAGGCCCTGATGATCCTGACTAAAGGAGGTGAGGGAGTCGTCAGGTCTCCAGGATTTGCTCAACTTTGCAGTTCTTGTTTGGAGAAGTTCCTTAAGTCGGAGAATCTGAAATCAAAAGAGGAAGACATTTTTGAGGCGATTGTCTCATGGACAAAACACAGATGTCTACAGGAAGGTGTGAGCGACACGCCTGAGAACCGACGGAGACTTCTGGGTGACCTTCGGTATGAGATTCGATTTAGCAGCATGCCCCTGGACTATCTGCTGACTGTTGTAGGTCCATCGGAAGTGCTGACTGACAGGGAAAGATTTCGAGTGATCGACAGAAGGGTCAACTCCCATGTTGACATCTCTCCTTTCAAAGATATACAGAGGAGGGAATCTAACCACTGTACAGAGGAACCTGTATCGTACAGGTATGTGTACAGATGTAGAGATTATGGTCTCACGGCTCTCCACAGCGGAACACATGCCATATCCTTTTCTGCAAATCAGGATATTCACTTGAAAGGATGTCAGCTATATGGCGCATGCTTTGATGAAACGTACACACTGACTATAAAGGTGTTTGACAGCAGCCATTTGAAGATTGCTGAACCGTTACAGCAAGTAAAGACAGTGCTTGAAGGCGAGAATCAGCCAAATGATATCCCGTTCCCTTCGTCCCTGTTACTCATCTCGGGTGCAACATATACTCTGTGCGTGGACATGGATGGGCCCGACACATACATTGGATGGGAGGGTCGCGATAAAGTAATAGCTGATGGAATAGAATTCACCTTCAACACCTCCTCCATGGCAACGTCAGGAACAACGGTGAATGCAGGGCAGATACCTGGATTGATATTCAGCCACACGTCACATGCGTTAACGTTGTGTTGCTAACATTGTTGCTTTCAAGTGTGAACACATCTGTAGGTTCAGTGCAACTCAGGAGAGAAGAACACGAAGAATCTTGACAAAGCAAACAAAGGTGGACAATTCCAAATGCATACAGATGCCATTGCCACATGTTTATGTGCTTCAACGTTGACTCAGGCAGGACGGTGTTGGAGCAGAAGTAGCAGTAGGATCTGATCAAATACCACGGGAATCAAGGCCGAGCAAGCCACTTATTTCCGCTTCTGGAATCATGATGCTCAACTTCAAGGGTGAAACACATTCCAAGTGATGCCTTGTGAAGAGCATACGTAGGTAGCACTTTGTAATGGCTGGACAACCTTGGACTCTGAAGGTGCTTTCTATTTACATACACTGTGTACACAACTCCCGGCATCAAATGAAACGTTATCAGAAATAGGTAAAGAAAGGACTAAGTCACAAGGACTAAGTCACCAGTGCCAGAGGAAGTTCACAGATTAACGGTCAGACATGGAACTACAATTATCTTCTCAAATAGACAGCTTTGGTTCGCTACCTGAAATATACATGACGTATTTGATTGACTTACTGACAGTGGATTCGAATAATTTATCAGAAAACTCAAATAGAAGCACTGTTATGACAAAGGGTCCCACATTCTACCCTGTTTGAAGGAGAAGATGTTGAAGTGCAACAAGCTGGTGAAAGGACACAGCCAGATATTACCAGCAAGGAAGATAGAGCTTGGTACTGTAGTGTGGAAACAACAGTAGGCTAACATTTATGAAGAAACAGGCCCACAGAAATGTCCGTGTGAAAGACATAAACACAATTCCTTAGTAGAAGAAATAAATCACCAGACAAGCCGTACAAAAAACCATCAGAAGACATTGTTCCACCAGTGAAATAAACACGTGAAAGAGACTAAAAAACGTTTTTGAGTCCCGCAGTGTGCAAATAGATTATGTCAATTATGCATTTTCCAAAGGATCATAAAAGATTTTTTTTGAATGTGAATTTCTTAAAAGGAAAGTTGCAGTATTCATTTGAAGTATGTTTAGAGAACTGTACTGAACAATTAGTAGTGTGGCAGGTTAGTTTGCAGTAAAGTTTCTTAGCAACACGTGTTTTGTTCTCTCTATTTGTTGCGTTTCACCTCCGTCAAGAGACGAAATGCAAGAGGCACAACACACAATAGCATCCACCCTTCCACCTTAATGTTGTAAAGGTGGACTGGATGTGTAGGTACATGCAGCATAAATATAGTGCTGCACGCTCTGTGGCGCCCCTCCTTAACAGCTCTTCGTGCACTGTATACCGAACGCTGTGTAGGTACAATAAGGTATAACACCCCTCCTTAACAGCTCTTCGTGCACTGTATACTGAACGCTGTGTAGGTACAATAAGGTATAACACCCCTCCTTAACAGCTCTTCGTGCACTGTATGCTGAACGCTGTGTAGGTACAATAAGGTATAACACCCCTCCTTAACAGCTCTTCGTGCACAGTCTGTATGCTGAACGCTGTGTAGGTACAATAAGGTATAACACCCCTCCTTAACTGCTCTTCGTGCACTGTATACCGAACGCTGTGTAGGTACAATAAGGTATAACACCCCTCCTTAACAGCTCTTCGTGCACTGTATACTGAACGCTGTGTAGGTACAATAAGGTATAACACCCCTCCTTAACTGCTCTTCGTGCACTGTATGCTGAACGCTGTGTAGGTACAATAAGGTATAACACCCCTCCTTAACAGCTCTTCGTGCACTGTATGCTGAACGCTGTGTAGGTACAATAAGGTATAACACCCCTCCTTAACTGCTCTTCGTGCACTGTATGCTGAACGCTGTGTAGGTACAATAAGGTATAACACCCCTCCTTAACAGCTCTTCGTGCACAGTCTGTGCACGCTGTGTAGGTACAATGAGGTATAACACCCTCCTTAACTGCTCTTCGTGTATACCGTGTAGGTACAATAAGGTATAACACCCTCCTTAACAGCTCTTCGTGCACTGTATGCTGAACGCTGTGTAGGTACAATAAGGTATAACACCCCTCCTTAACAGCTCTTCGTGCACTGTATGCTGAACGCTGTGTAGGTACAATAAGGTATAACACCCCTCCTTAACAGCTCTTCGTGCACTGTATGCTGAACGCTGTGTAGGTACAATAAGGTATAACACCCCTCCTTAACAGCTCTTCGTGCACTGTATGCTGAACGCTGTGTAGGTACAATAAGGTATAACACCCCTCCTTAACAGCTCTTCGTGCACAGTCTGTATGCTGAACGCTGTGTAGGTACAATAAGGTATAACACCCCTCCTTAACGTGCTCTTCGTGCACGCTGTATACTGAACGCTGTGTAGGTACAATAAGGTATAACACCCTCCTTAACAGCTCTTCGTGCTGACTGTGTAGATACAATAAGTAACACCCCTCCTGAACAGCTCTTCGTGCACTGTATGCTGAACGCTGTGTAGATACAATAAGGTATAACACCCCTCCTTAACAGCTCTTCGTGCACTGTCTGTATGCTGAACGCTGTGTAGATACAATAAGGTAGAACACCCCTCCTTAACAGCTCTTCGTGCACTGTCTGTATGCTGAACGCTGTGTAGATACAATAAGGTATAACACCCCTCCTTAACAGCTCTTCGTGCACAGTCTGTATGCTGAACGCTGTGTAGGTACAATAAGGTATAACACCCCTCCTTAACAGCTCTTCGTGCACTGTATGCTGAACGCTGTGTAGGTACAATAAGGTATAACACCCCTCCTTAACAGCTCTTCGTGCACAGTCTGTATGCTGAACGCTGTGTAGATACAATAAGGTATGACAACCCCTCCTTAACAGCCCTTCGTGCACTGTATGCTGAACGCTGTGTAGGTACAATAAGGTATAACACCCCTCCTTAACAGCTCTTCGTGCACTGTCTGTATGCTGAACGCTGTGTAGGTACAATAAGGTATAACACCCCTCCTTAACAGCTCTTCGTGCACTGTATGCTGAACGCTGTGTAGATACAATAAGGTATAACACCCCTCCTTAACAGCTCTTCGTGCACTGTATGCTGAACGCTGTGTAGATACAATAAGGTATAACACCCCTCCTTAACAGCTATTCGTGCACAGTCTATATGCTGAGCGCTGTGTTGGTACAATAAGGTATAACACCCCTCCTTAACAGCTCTTCGTGCACTGTATGCTGAACGCTGTGTAGATACAATAAGGTATAACACCCCTCCTTAACAGCTCTTCGTGCACAGTCTGTATGCTGAACGCTGTGTAGATACAATAAGATATAACACCCGTCCTTAACAGCTCTTCGTGCACTGTCTGTATGCTGAACGCTGTGTAGATACAATAAGGTATAACACCCGTCCTTAACAGCTCTTCATGCACTGTCTGTATGCTGAACGCTGTGTAGGTACAATAAGGTATAACACCCCTCCTTAACAGCTCTTCGTGCATTGTATGCTGAACGCTGTGTTGGTACAATAAGGTATAACACCCCTCCTTAACAGCTCTTCGTGCACAGTCTGTATGCTGAACGCTGTGTAGATACAATAAGGTATAACACCCCTCCTTAACAGCTCTTCGTGCACAGTCTGTTTGCTGAACGCTGTGTAGATACAATAAGGTATGACCACCCCTCCTTAACAGCTCTTCGTGCACTGTCTGTATGCTGAACGCTGTGTAGGTACTATACTGTCTTACGCCCCGCCTTACCTATTCTCACATTACCTAAAGATGCATTTACAGAACATCCCCTGTACGCATTCAATTTGTACTTAATGTTAACATGTTATCTGTATAACACCCCCCCCCCCCTCCTCCCAGTCTTCACGCTAACACTCTTACACAAATCACAAACAAAAACACACACGCATTCGACACAAAGCAAACACATACACAAGCATATACATACGCACACCAACATGCTGTATACATACACACACATGCATGGTGTATACATACACACAGCTGCATGCTGTATACATACACACACCAGCATGCTGTATACATACACACACCAGCATGATGTATACATACACACAAGTGCATGTTGTATACATACACACACCTGCATGCTGTATAAATCCCATAATCATAAACGTGGTGTTAAATCTTTTTCTCCTTCACTCACAGCAAACAGAACATCATCCCTCCTTGAGTGCTCACAATTTCCATTATAACGTCAATGTCGCCAGAACAGTTGACAGGTTTATGACCCTGTTTTCTCCCTTATGACAACACCTGTGCCGTCAACAGACTTACATGCAGCTACAAAAGTATGCATTGTTCATTATGCAAACCTCAACACTAAACCATCATGTGGAAGTTGCTCTAGGTAACAGAGGGACACGGAGAACACGATCCAAATATCGTGAAGCTTATAGTTTAACCTTGTTTTGGTTTGAACAAAATAAACATTCCTATAAATTTTCTTAATGCACCAGCTTCCGGGCATATGATTAAGCTATAAACAGCCTCCGGTGCATATAGAAGAATTTATGGGTTTGTCGTCCGACACGGTACAGCAGTTCCCTGCCTCGTGACACGTGCAGAAGCTAGATACTCACGCATGTGGCAACAAAACCCTCAAAAAATTTGGTCATCGATTTGTCCGTGAACGTATTGAGAGTTCTTATTGGTCATTTTATTGATTCGAAGCTCATTTTTTTGTCATATGCTCATATTCTGTTTACAATAGAGGACCTTGAGATACCTTGATGAGTGAGCGAGTGCAAATATTTCTTACTAAGTATCTATATTTAACACTTCCCCTTCCACCAGCCCTTAGCGTATTGCTGTAGCTCCAAGTAAACCAAGCTTCAGGGCTGAATCCCACCCTCACTGGGTCCCCTTTTCACTATAAATGGGGGCGTAGGGGTAGCTCAGTGGTTAAAACGTTCACTCGTCACTTTCAAGACCCGGTTTCTATTCCACAACATGTGAAGTCCATATCTGGTGTCCCTTGTCGTGATATTGCTGAAATATCGCTCTTTCGTCACTATTTGGTTTGGCAAACCGAAACATGAGTCTCATTAACCTATTCAGATTTACTGACCTACTTTTCAGCCGATCCGAATTTCTCGTGTGAAAGTGAAAATAGACATAATAAACAACTATGGTTACACTGAATTCCACTTTCTTGTTTCATAAGAAAATGGTATTTACAAATGAATTTTAAATGAATTTCTATATTTTATGGCGAGGTGTAGGCAGCATGACCTTAACTAAGACGTCACAGACGGCCCCTGTTTGATGAGGTCGTAAAATGATTCACAATGCATCTGGCACACTGGTTACACCTGTTATGTGTTTTTTGCGCTTATTCAGTGTAGTTCTGTAACACACAATATGGTTGATATAATATCAAGTCCGTACCAGACCGCCAATGTTTTCTAGCGGGAGAGCCTCATTTTGAGATTTCCACGATTTCCAGGTTTCTGTTTGTCAGAGCTCGCTGTACGACAAAGCACGCTGCACGACGTGTTTGCAAGGATTAGAAGGAACGTAGTGTTGCAATATACAAGTACTTAGATGTATCAAATAATGCTCTCAGTGATTAATAATTATGTATCCAGTTAAATGAATTGGTCCCAAAATTCTGGACTAGTTATTGTACTAAGTTGCGCAATAGGACGGGACCCAGTCAACAGGAAACGAGACTGTAATCAATGTTATGACTTGAAATTCAATGAAAGCTGCGTTCCATCGGTTTCCATTTCTTTTCTCCTCGGTGACATTGTTGTTTCCAACCGTTC